GACTTAAAGAATCACGTAAACACCATTTCATATAGGTAGTTAGTTTCTTTCTTTTTTTCCAAAGTAATTATCGTTATTATTATAAAAAAAAAAGCTTTCGGGCTGAAACCCCCCCAAATTAAATCCTGGATCCGCTAGTGAGGGCAGATGTATACTATAATAAACAGATGTATTGTTGGAAGTAAGCATGGTCTTATAGAAGACTAGGTTATACTAGACATCTGCTTCTCCCTTTAACGTTGTAATAGAAAGAAGCAGATGTCTATACGGTAGGATCTTCTACCACCTGGAGTTTGGAGGAAACTTTCGGCACTTTTTTGTATTCATGAAAGGCCCAAAAAAAAAAATGTTCTGTTGGAAATTCACTAATGGCATCAGGCCCGAGAATAGGGAAGTGCAGCTTGTGCGTTCGAGGCCCCGCTCTTCCGACCCTAATATTTTTTATCTTATAATTTTTTTCCTAACGAAAGATTTCATATATTATATAATTATTATGGAATATCTTTATATTTTTTATAAGTTTCAATTGAAGATTTAAGGGAATCTGAGAAAATTAATTTTAAATTGAAAAAAAAATTGGTTTATTTCCGTAAATAAATGACAATTATTATAATAGTGGATTGATAGTTGACTGTAGTAGATATATTGAAATGAAGCTGGTTGGGGTTTTCAGTCAACAATGAAAATAAAAAGTAAGAATAAATAAATAATATTTTATTTAATTTGGATTTTTGTTTTTGGCACAAAAATGGATATAATGTATTTATTTTTACTTTGTATTTTCATTGACTGAAAACCCCGACCAACTTTTCTTCAACAATCATTATAATGTTATTATTAATAACATTATAAAATAAACATAATTGCTCCTTCTTTCGGGCCCTTTTGTTTTGTTTTTCTTCTCTATGATGAACTACTGGACCAATTAAAAGTTCCAAATTAAAGATAGTTATAAAACACCAACTCCCTCCCCCAACAAATAAAAGGAATAAAAAGTATAATTAATATATATATATGATATAACTCCCCTCCCCCACAAAAAGAAAAAGAATATATATATATATATATATATATATATATATGTGTGGATGTTTCCTCTTGTAATTCAACTCACCATTGATCCTATTGTTAATCTCTATATTATTTCATATTAATTCTTTTAGAATAATATAAAAAAGACAATAATAATGGGCTAAGGAGCCTGCTGATATAAGGGTTTTTTTTATTTTATTTTTTGTCAAGATTTAGTTATTTATTTTATTAACTCTTCAGATGAAGAAAAAGAGTTAAAGACAAAGGAATTATAGAAGCTTAAATGAAGCAATGCGGTTAAAATCTTGAAAAAGTGGGCGCTAAATTTTCCTGATATAATTATAATAAAAAAATTATGAGCTATTAATAATTCTCCGTTCAACAGCGAAATACCGTTATAAGGTAATGGAATTTGGTTCTAATATGCCTGTTAAGGATTATGATGCATCTAAGTTTTCTATATCCAACACGATCCAGCCAAAACCTGAATTTATTTTATTACATTTATAAAAAAAAAAGTAAGTCATAGTGAAGAGACTGCTCCAATCGGATATTTTATTTATAAAATAAATATTTGAAAATTTTCCTCGTATTAGGGCTGAGTGAAATATTCGGAAAATTGTAAGCGGAAGTAAATCATTGAGGAACGATTCATTCGATGTTAGTCCTTGACTCACCTTAAGGTTACTTCTATCTCTAAGGCCGTGCCGTCATTAATGAAACACTTTCAGGGTTTGTTCCTGTGTCCCAAGCGGATAAGACTTTCACTGTCACTAAGGTAAGATAATTCATATTTCAGAGAAATGTGAAATCACTTAGCTTTATGCGTAGTTGTGGTTTAAAAGCAGTTTGAGTGATTAGTGATTTACCGCCTTCAAGGAAACTTTAAAGGTGTATTATCCCGTTTTTAATGGCGTGTTAAATTGGTTCAACGTTTCGGTTCTGTTAAGTTAGCGAAGATCTCTAATTTCAAAATATACAGGGTGACCCATTAGTAGATGACCCATTTTAAAAGGATACTAGTAGCCATCAAGATCTACAAAAAAGTTCATGTAAACAATTACCCAATGTTTTAAGCGAGTCACGTTTTTTAATCCTGATAACAACTAACACTAAAGCCCTTATTGTGTGAATGACAAGGTAGCTTGAAAAATAAAGTAATAATAAATATCATTGCTTTATCTAATTGTAATAATTAAAATGGGCAAGATTAAAAAGACAGGTTGCGACCTGTTCAGGCGTGAAAATTGCAACACTTAGGATCCTAATTAGTTTTTCTTTTTTATGGCGTAGATTTTATTCTTTAGTTAGGTGATTTGAATAGTTTATTCTTTCGACTTGAAGAGGTTAAATTTCCCCCCAAATCATTTGGGAATTTACTTCTTATTCATTATATATATGTATATATCATCGCAAGATCTACAATCTATTGCTGGATCTTGGATGCCTCATGAGTTGCTCACCACTTGACTATAGCAGCCGTCCACCAGTTTCTGATCCCAAGAATTCTGTCTTAGCACTAACTGTCTACCCATCTCAGCTTCGGGCTGCTCACTTTTCTTTTTCCTCCCAGTTCCATGCTAAATAGCTTCTTAGGAGTCGATGCCTCGTTCATCCGTACTACGTGGCCCGACCATCTTAGCCTTGCTATCTGGATCACAGGCGGATCTACCGGTGGGGCGGGGGGCTTTCGGGCTGAAGCCCCCCCAAAATGGTAAAATGTAACCATGTTTTACAGAAAAAAATATTAAAAATTATCTCTTAAAGTATTCTTGTTCGTGTTATTATATTTAATAGGACTTCAAGAACCACTTAAACACCATTTCATATAAGTAATTAATTTCTTTATTTTTTTTCCAAATAAATTATCGTTATATGTATATGAAAAAAAATCATTCGAGCTGAAGCCTCCCCCCCAAAAAAAATTAAATCTTGGATCCGCTATTGATCTGGGTATATTTCATCACATCCTACTCCTTTTATAAGTTGGCTAGTTCTTGGTTTTTTCTAATCCTCCATTTATTATTCTCTTATATATATATTATTTTTTTACTCGATAACTTAACGGAGTCCCTGTTTGCTTAGTTATGGAGAAGAGGAAGGCAAATGTTCCAAAAATCCAAGCTAGGGATACTCGAGCGTATATTTTCTTTTTCTTCTATGTTTTAATCAAGAGGAGTTCAATGCTAAAGTTCATGTATGTATGAAGATGAGTCAATCACAAGATAATTTATTTATAAGTTTGACATATTTGTATTGCCTAATTTTTGTTTAATTTTTTTCTTACATATACATCTATAATTTTGGTGGGGTCATTACGGTTTATAATATCGTTTTCTATTCTATATAATACTGGTACTTGTACTGGTGGGGATAATTAGTCCGGGGAGTGGGGGCCATCTGACCCTTTTTGCCAACCCCCGATTCTTGAGGTTGGCGCCACGTATTTACCAGAATGAAGGGAATTCTTTTCACGGAACCGCCGAGAAATAAATATTAACCGACCCAGGTAGGAATCGAACCCTCAACGTTCAGAATTAAGCGCTTTGCTATCCATATACAGAATATCTTTTTTATTCAATCTATAGCTAGAACTATCTCTATCTACAACTATTTTATACCTCTCCTATAGTTGGCCTTTGAATTATTGTTTTCACGCTTTAAAACATAGAATATGTTCTTTGAGACGGATTGTAATATTTTTCAATAAATAAGCTAATATATATATATGAATAGACTTTCTCCTGAACTCAACGCAAAAACCTTTATTCCATGTGATGAAATGAAATGATTCTTTCACCGTGCTCTTTTGATTGTTATGTTAAAAGGAGCTATTCCGGACTACGATTCAATATGAACAGCTCCAAACAAAATGTTTTAAACCTTTTTACGACAATTCGTCAAAAAACATAAATTTTTTCTTTAAAGTTTTATTCTTTTTTTTGTTTGTTTTAAGTGTTCTGTCTGTCTTTTATTGATGCTTCGGAATCAAGGTTGTAAATGTCTCAAGGATTCTTAGACGATGACAGCCAAGAGCAAAAATACTACGTCAACGTTATTAAGATAGTGAGAACGTTACACACTAGAATGGCTGCGTTGTTGATTAATTTTCGTTTACATACTCCTGATGAAAAAAATCCGCAGGCTTCATTCTCTTTCTATCTACGACAATGTCGCATTGTCGCCCGTTATTCTACTTGGAGGATAAAGAGGAACCGCTATGATGACCGGGGTAGGAGATCTAGAAGATGTTTATCAAAAGGGCTTTCGAGATATAAATTAAATAATGAAAAGTAGGAAAGAAAAAATATAGTAAGTCTAGTAAATATAGCAGGATGAATTTGGTATCGGATATAGGTTTAGAAAATTAACACAATACAAAATATATGAAGACAAAGAACGATGAATTGAGTGACCACAACGCTTTGAGGGGTACATTAATTTTGCTACCTTGGATTAAAACTTGATAGTAATGTAAAAGCGAGGAAGGATATTGAAAAAAAGTCTGACAAAAGGGTGTAAAGCGATTAGCATGCTCAATTCAGTCGTGTCCGTATAGATATAACTTTTCCAACAACAAATATCACTAAAATAACGTTACTCAAAAATGATGACATTGGAGTCATTCTGCCAACTGAAAAGATCAGAGACTGAAGTTATGTGGTTTATAAAACTAAACTTTCATTGCCTACCGTTGATATAATAAATAGAATTTTTGAAATTTTATTGGTATTAATGATTTAATATCTTTAAACTTTAGCTCCGTTTAAAATGCACTTTAAAAATTCAAAAATTGGCCAACATTGTTATAAAATATTTTCTGTTCACAGTGGAGCGGTAAATGAAAGTTGTGTGTTGCGCGCACCAGATTTTTCTTTTGGCTTTTGAAGTGTGATAATAAATTTAATAAGGAACTAATTATGCAAAACAATATTATAAAATCTTGGGGGAAAAAAATGTATACTCACAGAAAAACAGTTCCTGAAGTTCTGTTTTCAGAAAAATCGTACTGCTTCGTAGCCGCCATTCCAGAACTGGATGATCGCAAGACATGGCTGGTGGCTTCTACTGTTGAAACAAAAAATCATTGTGATTTTCTAACAAATCATATGTGTATATCAAGAACTTATTATAATACTTAGTATAATTTATATTATAATATGAATTTGATAGTAATTATTATTTTGACTTACTTACAAAAGTCAACTGTTGATTAAAATAGTAAATAGTCCGAGGGAGGAGAAAGTTATCTTAAATAATAAGATAATTTAAAAAAAAAAAATAATTTCGTATGGATTCGCGTTTTCTTCTTTTCATGTTTTTTTTTTTTTGAAGATTATCTATTAAATTTTGTTCAAAAATAATATATATATATATATATATATATATATATATATATATATATATATATATATATATAAACTGTGATTATGTGCCTCCTAACTAACATTATTTTTTTTTTAATTTATCAATTTTTTTTTTCATAAAATCACTGTTAAGTTTCAATTCAATTATTCGATTATAAAATGTGGTCATAATCTAAACTACAATTGTATACCAAATGTATTTTAAACTAATCTTTATACAAGTAATAACGCTCTTTATGCCACATAAAAATATCGATAAATCGATTAAAACGTCTAAGACAGAACAAAGGGACTGTTGTTTATGTTTGTAAAATAGCCAAATTCAATCTTTATCAACTGTTATCGAACCTCTTTGCTTCCGGTCTTCCACGTGGTTTCTTGCAATCAGTAAATCTGGCGATTGGTTTTAAAATAGTTATTTTTGGTCTAATTAGCTAATTTTTAAATTTTCTAATTATAGTTCAGTAATCTAAATGAATTTGATGATTTGAAATCAAGAAAAACAAAACAAGATCGTTAGTCGAATATTTATTGAAAAAATATATTTTTCCTGAATAATTAAAACTAATATCAGATTTAATTATAATAAAAAATAGATAAGATGGATTTACTAGGATCATCTTGGGTGAAGGCAAAATATGGGATTAGATTTATATGATTTTATTATTGATTTATTGTAATCGACTTAAAAGATTTTTCCACTAACAACTCATTTTAACTGGTTTGTTTCCTTACATTGTATAAAGAAAACGGAGAAACAACTTAAATATTTTAAGTTAAACTATTGTAAGTTTTCTTTTAGCTCATGAAGGCAAAAAAATGTTAGTTTTGCATAAATTTTCTATGGAATTTCTATGAAAGCGTTATATTTGCGTTCAGTAAAATAAAAGTATACTTAATTAACTACAGCAATGAAAAGTAATTATTTTTTAATCACTCTCTATCATCTTCTACGACCTTATCTGCTAGTTATTAATTTTCTAGTTTTCCAACTATATATATATATATATATATATATATATAATTTTTTTTATTTATTTTTTTTTTTGTGCCACTTTAGACCATGATGATGTTTGACCGCGTGATGTAGTCTCCTTACAGACGTATATTGCTTGCAGGAGCACAGATAGCCTGAAGGGGGTCACCCAACCTCACGTTGCTACGTGTATATATATATATATATATATATATGAGTTCTTAAAAGTAAAAAAAATATTTATTTTATTGACAGTTTGGGATTATCGAGTTTATTGTGAAATCCAGTCATGTGAAGAGGTGGATGTCGTGGAATTCCTTCTTATACAATTTCGGTCATTGGGTATGGCATTTACTTGTAAAACAGTTCCATATTGTTTTTTATTTCCTTGTTTATTTGAAATATGATGTAATGTTTTTTTTATCTCCTATCTCTCGGCCCCTTGTCCTCGATTCGGATTGGCGGGATCCACTTGTCGTGTCTGGAAGCCGGCAGTGTAGATTTTAAGGAATATCGGGATCAACAAAAATAGATAAGGTTCATCGGAGGGATTAAAATTTAGACAATCAATAGACAGATATCATTGTCTGCTGCTATCTCTTTCTGCTAAGTAGATTTTACAATCTGCAGACAATTATTAATCGATTTTAGTTATATCACTACATACGATATAAAAATTTTCGAGATAAGAACAAATGCTTTCCAAGAAACATTAAAGCCATATTATATCTTATCAAATATGATTTATAAGTAATAATGGAATTAAATTTGTTGCTCAACATTTCTTCTATTGGAAAAAGGCCTATTGAAACAGTAGTAGACATTATGAAGTCTGTAATGGAAATCCTGACGTAAGTGTTCGAGATGGGATCGTTAATACATTCAAATGTTCAGTAATATTTCAAGGACTATGAAAATATTACGATATACGAATCCTTATTGAGAGATGCAATAATGGTTCAAAGAAAACAGCTAAAACAGTTCTTTATGATAATCTACATTATGTGTTACGGCTTTCAGGAGTAATGGATTTTGATGAATGGGGTTTCGAACGAGAGGGAATTCCAAGGAGGATAATCATAATTGAAAGTTTTATGCTATATTAAATGTTTTACTACTGCAGTAACCGTCATAGATGAAATCATAGGACTTTCCATGTCGATTGGAGAGGGGCGGAGTGGGGGGAGGGGAGGAGAGAGAGGGAGTGATGAAGGACCAAAAGGCAGTACTTCTTATGTGAAAATTCTCCATAATAATTATGTTGAATTTTTACACATTTTTATAATTATTTTTAATAATCTGACTAGATATGTAAAAAGTCTACAAAATATTCTCTATAAAATATATTTGTACTTATACTTATTAAATATATTTTTTTCAACTTTATCGTAGACAATTTCATAAGCGAATCACGTGGAAATGGAGGTGTACACATCTGAGGTGAATTAATAATAAAATCCTAGGAAATGTTTCTATATAATCATCCCTGAATATAATTGAAAATATTTAAATAATTAAGAGGAGTTGGTTGGAGTATGCAGTAACAAGTAGCAAAGTAAAAATAAATAAATTATATTTAATTAATAGAAAAATTTAAATAATAGGAATATTTTATTAAAAGCCAAAGTTTCGACCCGACTTTGCAGGTCTTCTTCAGAGGTAGAACGGACAAGATACAAAAGAATACAGAAAATTATGGAAGTTACATAATATTCAGATAAAATTTATAAACAAGGTGAATAAACTTATTGAAATTATAAACATTGAAATATTAAGAACAATAAGTTATATAACAGAGTAAACTAAGTAACAAGCTCCCAAACTGAAGTAAATAGATGGTAACAATTGTTGTAGTATAATGTATGCAATTATGAACATACTCCTACAAATCTGTAGGAGAGATTGGAAGAAAAGGAAAAATTATATGAAATATTATTTTTTAATATGTCCATTAATTATTATTTTAATATACCTTGTTTATAATTTTTATCTAAATATTATGTAACTTCCACAATTTTCAATATTCTTTTGTATCATATAAACTCGTGATGATTGAAATCGCGAAACGTTAGCAGGTTTACTATTCACCTTTATGTTGGAGGCTCCAGACTTTATGTTTTGGATTTTTCCAATTATTATATATTTATTGCAACAAAAAAAAAAAAAAAAAAAAAAAAAAATCAAGTATGAATGGTAGTTCTTGAAAATAAAACCATCTTCCTTCAGCACATGTAAAGATTGTTGTACGATCGTTTTTACTAAAAAGTTATCAACGTTCTTATAACGAACTAAAAACTATAAAAAAATCAAGGTCTGTTCGATCAATGTTGAAAAGCTTGTAAGAAGTATAAGTACGAAGTGGCTATAAAGAAGATTAGTTAGAGGTCAAGACGTCATTGTAACAAATGACGAAGAACGTTGATTTTGATTTGTAGAATTCGTTTATAGTCTTTGAATTATAAATAGTCTCATTTATTAAATTCAAAAGTAATGAAATCTTGCGTTTAAAAATTCTTGAAAATTAAGAATTCCAGCATTTGATGAAATAAGTACAATAAGTATGTAATGATTAGGGACCGCGTATTTTTATGGTAAATAAAAGGCTAAATATTTACATACATATGTAACTTTATTTTCACAAATACGTTACGAAGTATGTAGGAATAGAAAATCGTTATACATCCATACACAAATATATATGTATATATTTATGTGTTTATTAATTAGTGTTGCCATAAATCAGTCTTGGTCTCGCACTTTGCAAGACCAAGGCCGCCTAAGTGTTGCAAGACCAAGATCAGGACTGGTAAAAAAAATCGATTTTTTAATAAAAATTAATGCAAAATAGTTACTAATAATTGACAATCTTAGTTATTATATGTTAATAATTGGTATAACCAATATACATTTTCATTTAACTCTTCTAATTTTTCATTCGGGCTTAGTTAGGTTTCTCCTATCTAAAAAATTATAGCAATATCTCTATAGTAATAAGCTAATAAGTAACTGCAAGACTGTTGTGAGTCTCTTGCGTAAGACCAAGACTGAGTTTGCAAGACCAAGACTCGTCTCGGTCTCGCATTTGGACAACTAATGCGCGTATTCATTTTTTTTTTTTTTTGTAATCCAACGTTATGCGGATATGTATTTGAAATTCACACCAATGTTTCATGAACTCAATTCCTATTATGTTCATGCTTATAGAAGTGTTAAATTTAATTTACTTAATTATTAAAAATATATTTACAATTTCCATAAATTTCATCAAAATGTAAAAGTAATATTACAAAATACCTTATTGTTAATTTTTAAAATAGAAATAAAATATTAAAGTTATAAATGAGGTTGTATTATGAATGAAAATACGGCCATTTCTATTGAGTAATTCTGTCTAAACGGTCTGTTTGATTTATGGTGCCATTAGTTTAGAAACATATTCAATGGAATAGTATGATTAAAATGTGAACTCTTGTTGACATACATATATTATTAGGTTTCGCATTACTTATGCATACCATACAAATAAAATCATGCATATCATTAGTACGCAAGTGAAAATTATATGTACATATTTATAATTTTTACTTGCATAATAATCCTGCGCAAGGAATTTTTTTTAATATATCTTTTATGTAATTGGATTTTGTTCTGATAGGACATTGTGGGAGGATTTTGTACTTGTGATACCAAATTGTGCGTCACTTTGACGTTGGTAAAACAGGTCT